GCTGAAAGGATGAAGGGTCATGGTTCATGGTCATTATTTTTCTGGTTTTCCTATCTAGGACTTTTAGTTCTATTTGAGTGTCTACCATTCCAGCTGTGTATCTGATGACTGGAATTGCCCAAATGTTAATTACTTTGATGTCATTTCCTTAACTGAGTTTGGATTTTAGTCACAGTTCATCTTCACTGTGCTGATCATTTCTTGATCTTGCCCCTTTGCCCCTTTCTCCACCACTCTCGTGGCTATTGCTACACGTTCTTTCATTTAAGCTTCCTTTTTTACTTATTCACCTCCTTAATCCAAACTACATTCTTGTTGCATTTCTTTGAGTTGTATCATGGAAGTGCCCAGAACTGTACTGATCTTCCATTTTGTTGACGTCTGTTTGCCTTTTTAACTTGTTTGTTGATTTTATCTCCAAGGTATTATTATTATCATCTTGGTTTTCTTATTCTTTAGGAATTCTAATCTAAATGACAGCTCCTACACCCATGGTAGCAAACCTATGGCACGCGTGTCACAGGTGACACACAGAACCCTCTCTGCAGGCACACCAGCCGACACGCCAGTCCAGCTCCACCATGCATGCACACATGCCTCCCGCCAGCCAACTGGTTTTCGGGTCTCTGCTGTGCATGTGCGAGGGGGTGGAGCGCATGCGGGGGACACGTGTGCATGCACAGGGTATGTGTGCATGTGTATAGGCCTCTCACATTGCATTTTCGAGGTTTGTAAGTGTGCGTGAACCCCTGTTTTGGGCCTGGAAGGCCTCCTGCACCAACCGGGAAGTCAAAACATGGTGCCAGGATGCTGCGTAAGGGCCCCTCCCCCCGCATCCTGTTTTGGGCCTGGAAAGTCTCCTGCACAATCCTGGAAGTAAAAAATGGCCGAGGTCGGTAAGGCGCATGCGCAGGGGACACACACTCATGCACGGGGGCACTCACATTGCATTTTGGCGTTCTGCATGTGCATGCTTTGGGCACTTGGAACCAAAAAGGTTAGCCATCACTGCCCTACACTATATTTTTACTGATTTTGCAGTTATGTCTTTCGCTGCTTGATACTTAGTGTCAAAGAAGAAAATTATTTCTCCCAACACTTCTGTCCCTAACTGCTTTGCAAAAAATAAAATGACATTAAAATTTAAAAACATTGTTCCAGTTTATTCTCTTGATCACAAGCTCCCAATTACCTCTCCTCTTTCTGCCTCCGTGTTCCCTGGAACTAAGCTATTGATTGATCATCTAACCAGGGAATCAATTCCCAAGTATAAGGCACCCCCATAACAAAGTCCATATGCTCAACAAACAGCAAGCATACAATCTAGCATAAAAAATCCAGCCTCACCCATTTTGCCAAACAAATGCAACTGATCAGTTTCACAAATTTAATAGCTCCTCCTTAAAACCTGCCATTCCTGTATGTCTCTGACTGTAAACTCCCAGCTGCCTCTTCTTTTTTCAAAGAGAAAGGACTTCTATGAGATACAGTAAGCGCACACAACATTAAATTTAAACAAATATAGCGATATAAACTCCTGAGCTCACAATTTGTGAGGAGTCTGGAACAAGCTTGCCACCTCATCTTAACAGCAATAGCAATTGTCACATGACACTGCAGCAGTGCAGATTGAGTAGAAACACCATGTGATAGGCAAATTCATTAGGTCTATGCCACAGAGTCCCTAAGCAGCCTTCCCTAAGTCCCTAAGAGCCAAGGTGGCGCAGTGGTTAAATGCAGCACTGCAGGCTACTGCTAGATCAGCAGGTCAGCGGTTCAAATCTCACCGGCTCAGGGTTGACTCAGCCTTCCATCC